ATCCTGCTTGTCCAGTCTCTGCTATATGATATGGTTCGGTTCTTATGTTGACTGCCTCATGCATCTTGTGTTAACCTATTGAATCAGAAGTAGAACCAAAAGAGTTTAACAAAATTATTACTTTTTTTTGTGTGTAGATAGAAACTGGAAACAATACAAACATTATTGTGGGCACCACGGGTAGGTCCTACTTCTTTCCTTTCCCTCTGTTGTTTTTGTCTGTCTTACTTTTCACAAGCACTAATTGACCATTATTGTGTCGATGTGCTTCTCTTTTATGCTAACAAACGAATATTCTTACTTACTGGCTTTATTGATCGGAGGTTAAAAACTAAAGCTTTTTTAACCCTGCACACAACACACACTTAGTTTAAGCTTTCCTGCGCAGTACTTTTGATTGCATGTGTTAAGCATCTTTAAATTTGAAGAGGTCTGTTAAGTTTTTTATTTATACCAAGCTATTTTCTCTCCCCCCCCCCCCCCCCCCCCTTCTTTTTCTCCAGCATCTTTTGTTATCTGTCTATCCCTCTGAAACACCTTTCTGTCTGGACCATTTCTTGTCTCCTTTCTCAGGCCTCTGCTTAGTTGGTTGGCAGATGCTTTAGTGGTTTTGGTCTTCCTACTTCTTTTTTTTAATGTATCTTTCGTCCTAGTCTGCTTCTTTGCACATGCTGAGTTGTTGCATTCACCTGGAAAAGTTAGTCCGGTTTTATAATTCTAAAGTGCTTTGTCTGCAGTCAAGAGATGTTTTGAGATGGTGTATTCTGAATGTGGGAGTATGTTCCTTAGTTATTTTGCTGTAATGTCAGTGGGTGTATGTCATGAGCTTTCTGCTTCTGCTATTCTACAAGCCTCACTTTATACTTTGCACAAAGTTGAAGGGTGTGATGAGCAGGTTCTTTTTCCTCACTACTTTTGTTCTGTCTTGAAATGCCGATTCTTTGTTCTTTACCTAAGATATCTAAAAATTGCTCTTCTCTCTATATTAGTGCTTCTGTGCTGTTTGATGTCAAATGTTTTATGTTGAGTGTGGTTATTTTTTTTTTCTCTCCTGGTCTACCTTTCAATGTATGTAACAAATTGATTTTGAAGTTTTATAACACCCCTCCCTTGGATAGCTTAGTGGTTCCTGTCAAAACCCTGTCTTGGGTGACTAACAAATCCCCTCCATGGAACTACACTCAGACCCTCCCCTTTTCTCCTTCTCAGACCCTCCCCTTTTCTCCTTTGCGTCAGATTTAAGCTCTAACAGTGCAAGTTCATTTATTTGAACTACTCCTCTTCTCAAAAATTTGCTCACATAATGTAGAGCTAAAATCCTGGGGATGTTCAGTAGTATGTATGGCCCAGAACTATATCTCATCATTTCATTTTTCTCGTAAAAGAAAGAATGTTTTGTACGATTGCTTTTCTAAAACTGTTTGGGTTGCTCAGTTAGCTTTTTGAAATTTTAAAGCTGCTTTGCTGCTAATTGGATATGGACAGACTGTTTCCTTTAGTTATCATGAGTGGGGGGTGTTAAAATAAAAGCATCGATGGAAGATAATCTGAGTCTGCTCCCCTTCTGCAAGAAATTGTGACTCTCTCTTAACGTTCTCTTCACCCAATCACCATCATCATCATATTCATTTTTGTGAGTGTTGGGACCCTTTCTTTGGGGGGGGGGGGGGGGGGGATGAATCTTGGAGCCCTGTAGCTCTCCTTTCAAAGATTGATTGTTGTGGAGTACGTTTTGTTTGTGTTTAAACTTACCAGGGCTCAAGATGTCACAGTAGCACAATAATTGTGTGTTGCACTATACAACTGTTGTTGTGAAAACCTTTCTATGGTTGTGTGATCAAGAAATGTCAAGCGGGTGGTTGGAAGGCTCCACTGGTTTGTTCTACTTCTTTTCTATCCCTCTGTTGTGTCTGTGCACCTGTCTTACTTTTTCCCAGTTCTGTATGACTTATTGTGTCAATGTGTACCTCTTTACTTAAAATTAAAACTGAGAAATGTGAAGCGGGTGGTTGGAGAGCTCTACTGGTTGGGCCTTCTTTTTCACTTTTTTTATTTACAGCTAGTGTAAGCTTAAAAGAACAAAAAAATGCCTCATGAATACAGAAATAGTGAAAAATTTACATTAGTTCACATGCAGTCACACTCGTGCACAATTTTAAAAATGTTGAGGCTTATAATACAATAGTTTATATGTTTTAACAATAAATTGGGCACAAAATGATGGTGCAAGAAAGGTGCATTTTCAAAAGGCATATTTTTTTTTCTTGATTCTCAAAAATATATTACTTAATTTTTGTGCTTTTGAAGAGATGAAAATGGAATTGGCATAAACAAGGACATAGGTGGTGAAAGTGGAAGGCGAAAAGTTTACTCATTATGGCAAAAACACTTTACTTAGTATTACTGTTGTGTTTTCAACAGTCAATAATTGAATTCCCTCAACCCTTACATATTGTCTGATTTGCTATAGTCATAGGCATTGTCCTTACATCGGGAAGGGGCATTTAAATATAAATGCCTTTGTCCATTTGAGCTTTGTTTTCATATATCCCAAATTTTTTGTAGCATGGTTGTAGAACTTTGTTGGTAGGTGAGGATGGGTGGCGGACGCTCTGGTATGGTCTTCTTTTCTACTTCTTTTCGGTGTTTCTATTGTCCTAATCTGTTATTAGCAAAATGCTGCTGTGTGGGTGGTTGGCGGGTGCTCTGGTGTTGCTTGCTACTTCTTTCCTATCAAACATACATCTGTCCTTATCTCTCCTTCTTTTTTGTGTATGTTACTCACTTGTCAAACATCTATTCTTCGGCACTTATATGACCTTATTGTGTTGCAAATGCTGTAAAACCCCTACTAAAACTAAAATCTGCTGTTTTTGTTTGCATGGTGGCTCTCCACAAACCACAACTCAACAACAACATTGTTTGTAGTTCCTGCTTCGTTTCTCCTCCCCCGTTTCTTTTTGACAGCTTGCAGCTCAAAATTACCGTCATTGTATAGATGAGCTCCTCTAACTATTTGACAAAATCTTCCTCGCTCCATGTTAATTTTATCTAGTCTTCCCAACTCATAGCTAGGCTTAGCAGCTGGATCTTCTCATAGACAAAGATTCAGCAAAATATTTTAAAGGAAATATTTGGAATTTTAAAATTATATTTACGGCTGCAAGTTTTAGTATTGAAATAAAAAGTATGCCTTGGAATTTACAGTGTAGATCTTGAGATGAACCGGATTGTCATGTAGTCTTCTGAGGTTTTGTATGGGTATTGTTTTAGCAAGAAAAAATACTAACTCTGCGCAAATAAGGATTCGCTAGTTTGTCCTCTGTGTCTGGTTATACGGTTTTGAAGGTTTGAATATTACAGTTGCCCGCGTTGCTATGCCTTATGAAAAAAAATTGAGGGTCTACTCATGGACTCTATAGGTAGTCCTTAACTCCTTAAGACTCAGGTTCATGATCATTGTCCTCAGTCTTTTTTTATCTACATATTTATATACTTTCTTATATATTTTGTTTATTTGGATTTTTTAAATGTTATTTTTATTGCTGTGTGGCTTCATCTGTTTGTTGTGTTATCTTACTGACCATTTTAAGGGGGTGCACAGTTTAAGAAAATATGCATTGTGAGTATTGTGTCCGCCATTGAGTCTTCTCAGATCTTGACCCTTTCAGTGATTCCCTTCTTGTAAGCTGTCTGGCTCGTTTATCACTTGCAGCAACCCATTGAAAAGTTCAGTTCTATATGTTTAGTAGATTCTGAACTATTTATACATCAGTTAGCTTCCTTTTTTTTTTGTCTAGATGGATGCTCACAATATATACTTATTTCTTTTTTCTAATGTTGGATTGTTTACTCTGTTACTTTCACACTGGCACTTACATGACCAATTTGTGATGCAAGTGCCATAAAACTCTTACTCAAACTTTAAAAAATAACTTTCACACAGCAGAAACTGGTTTGGTTGTGGTGACATCTTTGTCTTGAGCAAGTTAATTCCCTGTTTCACATTCCAGATACTTATCCCTAGACTTCTTCTTCATGTGGATAGATCAGTCATTTTCTCTTATATAAGTTTTTTCTAGTGGTTTTGCTATCATTCCCTCGCTGAAGTGAGCTCGTGTATATTCATTCAAATGATACATCAGTACTGCTGAATCTGTCTCTAAACCCCCCCCCTGCTGCCTTCATTTTTTGGTGGGTTTTTTCAAGTAAGATCAGACACTTTTCCTTTCCGTGAATTTGTGTAATCTTTCTCATATTTGTTCTTATATAAGGAATGAATTATTGCAAAATATAATAATTTTGTCAGAAAGAATATCCGTTCTTCACAGAGAGAAGCCTCTCTCTCTCTCTCTCTCTCTCTCTCTCTCTCTCTCTCTCTCTCTCTCTCTCACAGGTTGGGGTGAATATAGTCATTGCATGGAACAGCCTCTTTTTATTGTATATGGTGTACTCTTTTGGGTGGGGATAAAAGTACATTATGCATCTCTTTCTTAGGCTGCACTCGTTTACAATACAGTATTTGTGCATTTCTTTCTGTTTTTAAGACTGATTTGCAGTTGATGGTACTAGAGTCGAGCAGTGCATTTGTAGCAGAAATTACTATTTTATTTGAAGATTTTATGTTGGTTTCCCTTGACATAGCTCACAGTCGTAGATTAGAAAATGGTCACAATCCACTACCTTGCTTCTGCCTTTATCTTTTATATCAGACAGTGATTATCAGCAAACATCACTGCATTTCTCTCATTATACTTCTGTTCAAAATACGGACTCTCTTGTCAGTCACTTTCTGTTGTGTTGTTCTGGCTTCCAAGATAAACTTGAGCTTTCATATAGGTTGAAGGTGACTGTATGTATTGTATATGTAGGTTGCCATTGTTTGATGTGTACTTTATTTTTTTTACATGTAGTCCGTAGTGTCTATATATTTTGACTGTTAATTAGATTATGCTGCAGTAGCGCGAGACTGACTGTTGCTTTGCTTGTCTACCACGCAGATGATTATGATTGTGGGACTCCCTGGCGCTGGCAAAACAACATGGGGCATCAACATGCAGAAGGGTCACCCAGAGAAACGCTACAATATCATTGGCACTGACACTCTCATTGACAAGATGAGAGTGATGGGCTTACCCAGGAAGCGTAACTACGCAGGCCGCTGGGAGGTGCTGATCGAAAAGTCAACAAAATGTCTTAACAAGCTGTTCACAATTGGTGAGTATTAAAATTTTCTATTTTCGAGATGCTCTTTCTGTGTCATGAATAGAATGTAGGTGGTTGGTGAACTGCACTGGTAGATCATACTTATTTTCTTTCCCCTTGCTGTTTCTGTCTATCTGTCTTGCTTCTTCCCTGCACTATACGATCGTTGTTGGGTCGATGGGTTTCTTTCTCAAACTCAAAGAATAGATTTTCCAGCCAGAGTGTAGGTCATTTAAATGACACATTGACAAGCGTGAATAACAAGCAGCACTAAATCCCTCATCTGTGTTCTTACAGCTCTCTATACGATACACAGTATTTGCTTATTTACAGCATTAAAATCAGAAATAGAAACAGGAAATTGGTGTCAAAGTACAGTCGAACCTGTGTAAGACGGCCATCTATTGTCAAGGACAAAGTGGCCGTCTTAGGCAGGACTGTTCAAGATGAAGAAAACAAACCATTCCTTTCTGAGGTCCCCACCGAAAGTAGCCGCATTGTTATTGTTGTTGTTTTCGCGGGGGGGGTATGGTTTTTTTGCTGCTTTTGTGCAAGGGTGACAATAAAATGAAATGTGTCAAACAAGGAGGACTGAATGCTATGGTAAAACAAACACATGGTTCGCCACCACTTAAGTACATTTTAAGTGGGTGGTTGGCGAGTGCTCTGGTGTGGTTTACTTCTTCCTTCCTATCAAACATCTATCGTCCTTATCTCCCCTTCATCCTTTTTAGGTTTGTTACTCTCTTGTAACAGTTCTAATCTTCTGGCGTTCATATGACCTTATGCAGTTGCGAGCGCCGTAAAGCCTCTACTAAAACTTTAAAAATCTCTGAGAACAAGCGACGCTTCTGTCAGGTCTATGTTGACGTCCATTGTTACTTTGTTACAGACTAGGTAAACAGTGACCACTCATCTCACTTACGATTTGTGTATGAGTTCTGGGTGGGGCTTATGGGTTATGAGGGATCACACGCTTACCTCACCAGCAGCTGAAAATTTGTTACCTATTAGTCAACATTGGGAAGGGCTTACGCAACATGATTGGTTAGAGGGACTACCTGACAACGACAGGTGATTGGATTATGACGGCTCGCCCACAACGCCAGGGGCTAATGCACAAATTATGACAAAACGTATTGGAGTCACTGAGGTGGCCATCTAAGACAGGTGTTGTTGCTTGGTGTGATAGGGGTTGTGTGTTAAAATATGGTGGCCGCGGCGTGCCGGTTTTACACAGTTAAATTGTATAGAAAAACGCAAGGGGGAAAATGAAAAGTGGCCGTTTGTACAGGTGACCATGCTATAGAGTAGGGATGGGCAGGTACCAGTACCCAGTACCAGAACTTCCGGTTCTACCGAAGGAGGTGTCAGTACCGGCCCCAGGCCTCCAGTACCGGCTCTGGGAAGGAGCCGACACCCAGACGCTCAGAGAATAAGAACGTATAGACCGACACCAACAGTTTTTTAACCAGGCCACGGGAAGTGTCCTGTGTGTGTTGGCCTAGGCCTTGGTCTAGCAGCTGTGACGTCAGATGCACACAACGCAGCTGGTGACCTTGATACATGACTTCAGATTCAAAATTGACAATCAAAAACGAAGTTTGCTTGAATTTAAATATGGCATCAAATCAGGTTGAACGCGAGCCACTTACTGTATTTTGATACGCTGATTCCGAAGATGAAATCAATTTTTATCGGTGATTATTATTTTTAAGATTCTGCATGCAGAGTCTTATCCCGCGCGGTGGCAAACTTGAAAGACAGTTCGCCTCTCCAATTCTGACGTTTGGGGGGGGAGGGGGATGCGGGCGGCGCTGATCGTGGTGTGAGACGCAAGACGTGAAGTCTGTGACCTCAAACCATGTTTGAGATTTTAGGAATTTAAGATTAGTGTTAAATTTTCGAGATGGCCACCATCACAATGGCAATGGGTGATATGTGTCATGAATAACACCCCAAATCATTTGGCACCTTGGCATTGAGTCTGACTTTGCTAAATTCATATATGCAGGTCAATGTATAGAAAATTTTTTAGCTCGTCAGAGCTCCCCCTTAAGTACAACAGGGAGAACCACAGAAAAAAAAAGCATATTGACATTATAATGTAAAGACGTCTTCATGCTCTCTGTGATGACTGTAATATTACCCTATTTGGATTGGCAGTATTGTTAACGACTCATGTGAAAAGGCAGCTGAGCAAATCTTTGAGACAACGGTGAGATTATGTTTATGAAGCTTTCATTGCCTTGTGAACATTTGTTTATGTCTCATATTTAAGTGTATTGGTGTGAACTGTAAGCTCAGTTGATATCATGCTTGACTGTGGTGCTGATGGCCTTGATTTAAAGTCCTTTTAGGGTGTTCTTGAGCTTTGGTTATTTGGAGTTGTCAAGGGTGTCTACCAACTTGGCCTCAGTTTTTCTGGAAATGGTTGTTATATCAGAGTGTATAAGTGTAATTGAAGGTGTTTTATGCTCCCATCCACACAATTTAGATCATATTAAGGTGAGCTGCTTGGACCCTGCCCGTCAAAGCCAACCCAAGTAGTGATAGATACAATGTCCCATCACACAGACAGAGATTCAGTGGTGTCCTCATAATAGCAACACACTTGGGAAGCAAGTCTTGGTTCCTGTTCGGCAGACATTGCTACAAGCTGAATTTTAATTATTTATTTATTTTATCTATTTATTTTTAATTTATAATTTATTTTTTTTATATATTTTTTTTTTGGGGGGGGGGGTACTGCTTGAAAGAAATGACACTCCTCTCTCTCTCTTTCTCTCTCTCTCTCTCTTTCTCTCTCTCTCTCTCTCTCTCTCTCTCTCTCTCTCTCTCTCTCTCTCTCTCTGTCCCTCCCTCCCTCTTCCCACCCCCCTCCCACACACACACACATGTGCATGCGCACAAGCATGAGTCGTAATGATAGCATGTGGTGATTTTGTTACATCGCAGGGATCGAACTTTGGCCATGGGCAGCGTCAGTGCTGAGGTTTGACCTCTGAAGTGAGCTGATGCTCGATAGTAGAGGGGTATTGTTACTCTTAATCATAGTGGCCAAAATTCCACACACCACCATCCCCAGCCAGTTGGGAGACACTTAAAGGATGGTGGCTCTTAGTAAGAGGGTGTGAACTGGGATCCTGTACTTACCAGCAAAGTGTATTTTGGGCCCAAGCAGGATAACTAGGGAGGATGAATGCACACGCCTTAAAATTATTGGCCAGTCTCTATGTTTATATAGAAAAAGTTTCGTTACACAAGATAAAGTTGCTGTTATGTGGGTTATTACAAAGCAGTTACTATACTCGAGAAAAAAAAATTCTCCACATACAGGAATCAAACTCACAAATTCTGTGTGCGACAGTGAATCTCCTAACCACTACACCGTTGACACTGGTCACCTATTATGTAATGTCACAGTGTTGAAAGGTGTACTAAACCCTTATGATTATGCAGTGCCTGTAAGAACTTTGTCATTGATTTTTCTGTAAAGCCTTGTCATTTTTCACAGTCTTTACACAACTTGAGCATGTGTACTCTTTTGTCTGGAAACTTTGCCTTTTATTCTTATGATTTTTCATTTTTCTGTCTTTGTTGTTACAGCGGCTAAAAGAAAGAGGAACTATATTCTGGATCAAACAAATGTGTACGGGTCTGCTCGCAGAAGGAAGATGAAGAACTTTACAGGATTCTACAGGATCGCTGCTGTGTTACAGCCTGATGATCCAGAGCTGGAGCGGAGATCAAAGAAGAGGACACAAGAAGATGGTACCTTGTTGTTTCATTGATTTCAATCATGAATGCTTTGCAGATTTTTTTGATTTTTTTTTTTATCAATCTTTTGATTCTTCATCTGTTTCTACTTTTCTCCTCCTTCCTGGGCTTCTGCTTTTTCCATTGTTCTGTTAAAGTGTCAAAGTAAAAGGTAGTGTTCTTGTTTGCCATGGAAAACTAGTAAAAGTTGTAGGAGAGTTTGCTGAAGTATCATGAACTCGGTGCTAACTCACTTTTGTGTTTTGTGGTTAGATTTGGGGGTGGGGGGTGATTTTTTTATTAAGTAAGGGGCTTTCTTTTTATCTATTATAACAATATTTCATTTTGCAGGTAAAGTTGTTCCTGAATCTGCTGTTCTGGAAATGAAAGCCAACTTTTCTCTGCCAGAGGATAGGGACAACCTGTTTGACAGGATTGACTATGTGGAGCTCCAGAAGGATGTAGTGTCACAGTTGGTTAGAACGTGAGTGAAGGGTATTTTTAAACCATTCTTTTCTTTTACCAACAAACCGAACGCTTTGTATCGGTACAGAGTAAGAATAATATGTAAGAATAAACAAGTACAGTGTTTTTCATATGTCTGTAATTATTTTTGCATCAGTTTGTTCTTTACTTTGTATTTTATAACTGTATGAGGAGAGAGTAAGGACTTAAATATCCGTTTTAAGGTGAATGTTGGTTTACAGTTCCTTTCCTTTCCCCCGTTCCTTACTTTTTTTTAAAATATAAAGGATAAGGTTCTTCAGTTTTTCTCTTAAAACTTTGGCTTAAATCAGGCAAACGCTGATAGAGGACAGAATTTTACCAGAAAAGATTTATGAATTTATCAGTATCACTTCCATCATTTATAGCATGATGTTTTTATTATGAAAACCAACCTTGCGAGAAATCCAAGCCCTATATTTCCAGTATTCTTTGTGTTTTATAGTTTGAATATCAACAAGCATATGCACCTCTGTTAGCAATATAAAGTATATCAATAAGTGAGTAAAATGCTTCGTGTTTTTAGATACAATGCTGATGGGAAGTCCAAGCCAAGGCAGGACAGTGGTCAGGGGCGCTTTGATAACAAGTCTCATCAGGTGAGTTGGCCTACTGGGTTGGCTTTTTCATGAAGCATTTGATAACCTTGGTCTTACATGGAAGTGTGCCGTGACTACAAAGGAGTTTTCAGATGAGGAGTATAGGAAGTCTTTAGTGAAAGTGAGTGGTCATGGACATTGTTTATATGAGTTCTTGTTGGTATTCATTGGCTATTGAAACTTGTAACTAATTCAGAGGGTGGGATAGGTCAGTGAGACTTCCTTGCAGCGTGAGTGTGTGTTTGAACTTCCATTTTCATTTGCACCAAGCTGTACTAGTAAATGTTAAAATCAAGAAAATCAGTTAGATGTCGAGAGGTTGAGAGTATTGAAATAAAATTGTTCAGCTGAGGTTATGAAATGCTATTAAATTGTTTAAAAAGTAGTCCCAAGCTCTGCAGATATTGCACAAGAAAGTTGAAAGGAAAAGTTATGGCACTGTAAGTTGAACGATTTTTTAAGAAGAGTGTAATGGATAGTTTTACTCTATGCTGCGATGTATCAGTGGTTGTCCGCGTCTTTTGAAGGACATGCCATTGTGTCATTGTTTTTTATTATGAGTCATAATGCAAATGACACAAGTGGTCTATCTTGAGTAACCTCTGCTACCTGACATCTTGCATGGGGAGAAAAGGATGCAGAGGATCGAGTGAAGTCCAACTGCCCTTTTCATAGCAGTTTAGTACATGGACTAGTGGACAGTTCTCTCGGTTATCGCTCTTTGAAAGTCTTCTACTTCGCCTGACCCGTTCCATGGTGTGCTACTTTGTGTCTTCATTTCGTTTTAGCACCAACTGGACCCAAGCTGTTTGCCTGTTTGTCAGGTGCTGCCAACAACACTTCTGTATTTCTGTCTTGTTTTTCCAGTGACAAATTATTCATATTTTCTTTTACCATACAATGCATTAAAGTATGTGTAAAAGTTACGCTGTCATAGGAGTTGAAATGTAGAATCCTTTATTTAACATTGTGGTTGGTTCTTGGAGAGTGCCACTGATTGATAGGTTGTATTTCTGCCCATAATCTTGCATTTTGCCCCAACTAATTGACCACCATAATTTAAATGTGCTTTTTTGTACTTCCCAACCAAAAAAAAAAGTAATATTCTTTTTCTCATTTATCATCCTAGGATCAGAGGCAGTCCCATTATGGGGGTTACTCGAGCCAGGGCTATGGTCGTTCAGGCGGTGGGTACGATCGTTCAGGTGATGCTGGAGGCAAACGGGATCACTGGCCAAATGAGCAGGATGAACCTCCGTCCAAACGTAACAAAAATGATCTAGGCAGTGCCCTGGACCTGTTGAAGCAGCAGTATGAAGAAGATGAGCGTTCTCAACCAGCTCTGCCTCAGGGAGCAGTTGTTGGACGACCTGGCTGGCCGCCTGAGTTGGCCAAAGTTAAAGACGAGTTGACGGGTCAAGCTGTAGGGCCCCCCGGCAGTCAGTGGCCACCGGCTACCACACTGCCACCAGGGTACCCCCCTGGACTCTTACACTCTCATGCTGCTGCAGCAGCTTTCCAACCCGGTCTGTTGGGAGCCCCACCCCTGCCTCCGGGTGTCCAGCTGGCTTTCCTGCCCCCAGGCATGCCACCACCTCCACCCTCTGAGCTGGCAGGACTTGGGCTGGCTGCTGCCAAGGCAGGCCAGGACCCTCAAGGTCAACAGGCGGCTGCTGTAGCTCAAACCCATGCTCAGGTACAATCTGGCATTTAGCTCTCTATCTCTCTTGTCCAATGCTATCACACAGAAGGAAAGAAAGGGGAAAAAATCTGACTTGACAGTAACCTGTCTGTGATTTTCAAATCGAAAAGCTTTGCACATGATGTACTAGCACAACACACTGCTGCTTTTCATGGTCTAAGTAGTCGTCCTCTGCACACTCTTCCAATCTGACCACTCTCTCTAAGTCAAGCTGTTCAGGCAATGATTGCAGCAACGTCCAATGACACTGAAAAGATTTTTTACAGTTAAAATCTATTCTTTACACAATCATCACACTGGAGATGGCAGTGTTGTCATCAAAATTTTTTGTCCTTAGGCTTACAAAATGAATCGATCCATCAGTAAACTGCATTGTATTTTGTATTGTACTGTGACATGAGATTGTTCTATAGTTTAGCAAAAATAAGTATTATTATCTTTTTTCCCTCTGCTCATCAATTATTAAGAGACTAGTTTGTAGTGACACTGAAATGATTAATTATTAATAAAAATAAGCTATAAATATTGTGAATTTGAGATGTGATTCGCTTTTTCGTTTAGAACAAGGAGTTTCTTTGTTTTATGTAAAATGACAAGAAAATGTGGAACTTGTGAAGATAAATGTTTATTTGAAGCCATTTTGTGTGAATTGATAGCAAAATGGACAGTGTACTAAGTTAAATCCTTTTGGGCGGGTAGTCATACATGTTTTATATCCAGGACAGAGTTCTGAGAGCAGGACACTGTAAATTAAGAATATGCTTAAAGGCCTAAATAAAGCACTGCTCAGTTTTGTCTTTTTTCAACTTTATGAAGATACAGATTGTACGAAGCTTCATGAAGTGTCACAGGCAAAGCTTTTGTTGTAAAACGGGCAGGTTCTCAGCAAGTTAAGCTCATCAGGATAGGCAAAAGACTTGAAACAACTTGGTAATCAGTCAAATTTCTTCTCCATATCTCCGGAACTGGAATATTACTATTTCGGGAATCAAATACATAAAAAGGGAACAATAGAAAAGTTAATGAAATAGTCTCTGCATTCTTCTTTCATAGGGATCATCAAAATTTTGGATGTTTTGTTTAGAGGTGTTGATGGATGTTGTTTTTTTTCTTTTGTTCATGATTATCTTGTTTGTTTGGGGGGTTTTTTAGAAAAGATGTGAGTTTGAGCACCTTCTTTTCTAAATGAACGTCATAATTTCTCTTAGCATTAAGTTGGGTTTTTTACTCTGTATCTCAATAGAAATCGTTTATGCTTCCTTTCTCTAAGCTGGCCCAGGCTGCACAAGGCCAGATCCTGATGGACCCTGCAAAGCTGGCGACTGGCAGTCCATACACACTAGTGAGTCAAGCCACTGGACAGAGTCTGTATGGTGCAGCTGCCCAGGGCTTTGAGGCAGTTATGGGTCAGGATGTTGCTGGACGCCAAGCTGCTTGGCAGCAAGCCCAGGAGCAAGCTCAGGCCCAAGCTCAGGCCCAAGCCCAGGCCCAAGCTCAGGCCCAAGCAGCACAGATACAGGCTGCCCAACAACAGGTAGTTCATGACTCTACCACATTTGCTTGTTTTCTACCCTTTTTTTTTTTAGTCTTTGAATTATTATCTAAGAAATGTATTATCTTTCTCTCCCCCCCCCCCCCCCTCCCCCCCTCTATCTCTCTCTCTCTCTCTCTCTCTCTCTCTCTCTCTCTCTCTCTCTCTCCCCATATCCCCCCCCTTTTTTTTTTCTTTTCTTTTTTCCAGTTAGCCATGTGGTGACACTTTGTCATATTCTGTAGCTTGATTTGAAGTTCTTTATGTTTGCAAATTAGTTCAAATTTTCGTTTGAACAGTTAGCCCTAGAAGACCTACCTCGTTTCAATGACCATCTGGTAGGGTGTCATTGCCACACTGAACAGTTGTCCTGGACTTCATTGTTGTTTGCTTTTGTTTAAGAAGCCTATGTGCTCATTCTGATCTATCCAGAATTCTGGGTGTGAAAAAACTGTTTAAAAAAATTATGTCTACTTCTAACCATGCCTGCTTGCAGAAGGAATGGTACCAAATACTTGATCTGAGGTGCAGGACCCTTAACTTGTGGTTTACAAGCTGTTTGCCATTGTTAGATAAATCTATTTTATTCCGCATTGTCAGTGTATATTTTCATTTGCATAAAATTATGACATGTCAATCTAATGCCATTCTTTTTTTTAAAAATAGCAGCAGAGCTGGCAGCAAGAACTGGAAGAGGCTACCCTTAAGTCTCAGCAGAAGTCCTGGCAGCAACAACAGCAACAGCTACAGCAGCAACAAGACAAGTCTCCTACAACCAACTGGCATGACTGGGCCTCACAGAGGGAGAGTAGGGACAGAGACAACAAGAGAGGCTCTGGTGGTCGTGATTCTTACAGGTAGATCTATTCTATTTATTTTAATCTATAGTCTTCTTTTTTTCTGTTCCACTGCTAGGTCTCAGGATTAGTTGGCTCCAGAGATAATAGTGCTATTGAAAGTCTTTCTGTGGATATTTTTTGTACCAGTTTGTAGTGTCCCTTACCTTTCAGACAGTCCTATGCTTTTTGAAAATCAGTACCATTATTTAAATATACAGACCAATTTCTTCAGTTTTTGAACTCGGATTAAATGCTAATTTCACATATGCAGCAGGCTTTGTTTGCCCTTCTTAAATTCCTTATTGCCAGTGTCTTGAATATACTAACATTCACACAGAACTTTCCTAATCTGAGGAGATTAAGTATTGTACCCATTCGTAGGGAAGAGGACGTGAAAACCCAAAGTCGTCTATTGACCGTGCGAGCATGTGTTTGGTACCAGAAACTAAATTTTAAAAGTAGCTGTTTGCCAAATATCTGTTACATATGAAAGGCCTATATCCCCAGAGCATTTTGGTACCATTCTTTAACCTCTCAGTCAATTTTTAAGAAAATGGTAGTTGTTTAGAATTTGATCAAATTTCTTAAAAGTCGCTCATTGGCTGCAACCCCGTGTTTGACAGATAATAAAAGAGTACCAAGTGCACCAAACATCTCCGCATTAACAGAGTGCAATCACTATAACATAGATAAGGATCCTAATTTTTTTCAAGACTGTAAGATCATTACAAATCAATATTTTATCACCTCGAACACGATGATCTGTCGTTATTTCGACAAAACCACCGAGTGTTGACCTGGCCGGCGCCGCACCGGCCCCCGCGGCGAGCGAGTCGGGTAGTGTACCCCACATGGGGGTCACATGCTTTCCAAGTCTCGCGGAAGGATTGATGCAAAATAATTCCAAGCTGATTACTTTATTCTAATAGGAAATGAACTGATCTTTCTATTGCTACCTTTTTTGTGTCGGTATTTTAAATATTTCGTGTATAAAATGATGTTTGAAAATTTTGACGCTATTTTTATTTAAACACCAAAGGCCAAAAAAATACCACGGGATAGCCCGTTCAAAGCTCTACAGTTTTCCGCCAATGAAAAGACGGTATTTAATCATCAATCTTTCCACGAAGCATTTGATTCTGACCGCGAGGGGCTTCGCTTTCCTCTGCGATTCTCTAGCTCCTAATAATCGGACATATAAACAACTGTTACCATTGTAATGAGGAAAAGCTGAACTTTTACAAGGTGTACAGCATTTGATGTTTTATAACGAAAGAGCAAAGAAACAGCGATCTGAATTACCCCGATTTCATCAATACCACGTGCTCTGAAGGCCGCGAGTGCCGGCGAGGCCGTGTTTACGCTACCTACATGTACCAGAGATTGAGCAAAGTATTTTAAGGATAGGGGTGCCCCTTGAAATTGCTGATTTTGGGTCAAATTGTGAAATTTTAGTTGTTTACTGGGAAGTGAAGGTCAGCCACTTCTGTATCTTAAAAAAAAGCAAAGACAAATTTTGGAAGCCTGTCATTCATGGCATAAATTGTTTTTTGAGAGTTTTTCTCAAAACAATATTTTGATGCAGTATTTTTCCTTCTACTTTTTATTTTTTATCTTATTTGTACGAAACTGTCAGGAACCCTTCACTGTATAAAAACATAATTGCGTACAGAAGAAAATTAGAAAAATGTAATATTATTTAATTTATGACAAATAAATAATATAATCTAAGTCAGGTTACATACAAGAGGCGTACGAAAAGTTTTTTTACCTGACCGTGAAGGAATAAAGGCAGAAAGCTGAAATTTGGTATTAAGGTATGTCTTTCTCTATGTAGTCGTCTCCCACTGTTATACATTTTTAGCCATCGGTGTATGACCTTGAAAAGACCTTGAGAATAGAAGACCCTGTCTTTGTCAGAAACCAGCCCTTTACCGCTCCTGTGACCTCATCATCACTTTCAAATGCCTTCCTTTCAAATCTTTTTTCAGTTGGGGAATTTAAAAAGTTGGACGTGGCTAAATCTGGAAAATACGGTGGATGAGACAAGATTTTATAGCCACTTTTTCGCGCAGTTTCTGCAGATTTTCTTGGAGTGTGTACTAGCGCGTTGTCATGAAGAAGCACCTTTTCAGATCTTTCCTCTGCATTTTTCTTTTATAGCCTCTCGTAATTTTTAGCTTTTTAGAATAATGGTCGCCGGTGATTGTATGTCCATTTTCATGATAGTCTGTCATAATTACTCCTTCTTGGTCCCAAAAAACTGATAGCATCACTTTTCCACTTAATGGCTGCACCTTTGCCTTCTTTGGTGTTGGAGACGAGGGCGATTGCCACTGCATTGATGCAGATTTTGACACAGGATCGTAGTGGTGGATTCATGTCTCATCCATGGTAACAAGTGTTTCAAAAAATTTAGTTTCATCCTATTCATACAAACCAAACAATTCTTGACAATAATCGACACGTTGCACTTTTTGTCAACAAACATGGGACCCAATCTCGCAGAAACTTTGTCATATTCAAATGTTCATTTAAGATACGTTCGACTGATCCAATGCTAAGCCTAGTTTCTTTTCTCCAACTTTCGACTGTCAGACAATGCAAGTTTCTTGATTTTCAACACATTCTCTTCTGTTGTTGCTGTCACTGGGCGACAATCATGGTGGTCATCTTGAGTGTCCATGAATCTGCATTTGAATTTTTTACACCAAAATTTTATCACAGCATAGGATGGGCAATCAGTTCCATATACAGCATGCGTCTCCATAGAAATATAGTATATTTGCTTTCCTTGCAAAAACAAAAACTATATTACTGCCCTGAGCTCAATTTTCTTCATTTTTATGTTGAAACTGGAGAACAACATACCCCCATTCACTTATAATGCACTGGTGTTAAAACCAGTAATCGGAAGTTCCCCAAAATTTACGTGCATTCTAGAAGATGATTGTTGGCTTTCGCCCCAAATTTCAGCTTTCTACCTTTATACCTTCATGGTCAGGTAAAAAACTTTTGGTATGCCCCTCATACTACACATATGTTAGTAAAATTCAACTTTTCTTTGAAATAGCTCAAAACTTCCTGTGTGAAATTGTGATAAGCAGGGGAACACTCTCACTAAGTTTGAGGGAAAAGCTTTAGATAAAGGGATGTATTTCATATTGAAAGTACAGCACATTAAATTAAGGTTTCAATTTAGTTTGTTTTTTGTTTCTTACATGCCATGCCTTTTCCTTTCAGAATGGACTCGAGAGACCGCGACAGAGACCGAGACAGGGATCGTGACAGGGATAGGGATAGAGATCGGGACAGGGACCGCGGTAACAGGGATCGTGATTCTAGTTATGGTTCTTACAACAGAAATAAGAGCCACGACCGGGGGTCCAGTTACAGCAACAGCGACCGTCGAGACAGTGGAAACTATGGCAGAGATTCTTCACACCACGGCGGAGGATCATCTTGGAATCAGAGCAGCTACTCTGGCTCAGGAGGCTCCTCGGACCGCCAAGAATATGGTTCCGACTCGAGCCAAAAGTCGGACCGTCAGAGGAGGCGCAAGTCTAAGTGGGATCAACCAGGGGATGAGGAGGGCTCAGACGGTGCCCAGATCAAAACAGAAGTCTCAGATTCATTCGGCAGTGGCAGTCAGTCACAACAATCTGTACAGAGTCTTTTCAGCCAGCCACCTCCAGGGTTCACCAGTAACTCGTTTGGTGGCAACCAGCCTTTCTCTTCTTCCTCCAGTCCGCCCGGCCGTCAGGCTAATGTCTCTGTGAGCAGCAGCTCACAGGGAAACAAAACTCCAGGCTCTTTTGATATATTCAGTCGACCACCACCACCTCTGTTAGGAAATGTCAAATCAGAGTTCCCTGCCTCAAACAGTGTGGGTTCCTCTGGAGGCCAGCCGGACATCAAACTCCCAGTCAGTGGCAGTGGTGATGGCTTATTAGGTCAAGGGCCTGGGCCGAGACCATTGATCCCAGGCCTGCAAGGCTCAATAGCAGGACAGTTTAGACCAAGAGGAGCTTTCCCTGGCCCTCCTCCTTTCAGAGGTCAAGCCCCTGGAGGCAACGATCCCATGAGACCCAGGAGCAATGATGGCTCCTCAGGCAGTCCAAGAAAGCCCTTCTCTCCTGATCAAGGGCACCAGGGGAAAATGGGAGGCGGCGGCGTTGAGGATGCAAGTAAAAGACCGGTACCTAAACCCCTGATTGATCTTGAAGAGCCTGGTGCCGATTCTCAGCCGATGATGGGGCAGGGAGACAAGCCAGGAGGTCCTCCTGGAGGACCTCCTTCCAGAGGCGGTCCAGGCAAACCAGGACTGTTCCCCACCCCAGGTACTCCGGAGGCTGAAATAGGAGGTCCACACAAAGGCCCACCATTCAGACCAAGAGGCCCTCCAGGACTTATGGGTCGGTTCCCAGGCTCTCCTAACGGGCCACCGCCACCGTTAGGGGGCCCAGGCATGCTGGGACCAGGTCCTCCACCACCAGGAATGGGTGGCCCCAGACCTCCTAGAGGTGGTGGTCCGATGGGCCCTAGGGGTCCTCCACCCCCCGGGGGACCTATGGGAGGTCCTCCCCGAGGGCCAATGGGTGGTCCTCCCAGAGGACCTGGGCCTAGGGGCCCTGGTGGCCCTGGTGGCCCAGGAGGTCCTGGACCGTGGAATCAGAACCGGCCCCGTTTTGGCCCTCGTGTCCCACCTGGCCCCCCTCGTCCGCTATTTGATGGTCCCCCGGGAAGATGGCCCCGCCCTCCCAGGTAGATCAATTGAGATTTATTGATTTAAATGCATTCATAAAACACGTGTCTCTTTGTGTGTTGGTACTATTTACCATTTTTTTTATCCCTTCTCACACCTTTATTGATGACCATCTATCGGAATGTTTTTTTTTCATAAGCTTTCACCGTCAGCATCACCCTCGTGAACATTTGTGTAGCTAAGTGGATTTTTGGTTTAGCTTGCTCAGTCTAATAAATAAATGCCCTTTGTTATGAGAGTGATAGGGCAATGTTGTAAATAGAAACGAGCATGATAGAATAGCCAAACAAATCTGTCAATATGCTTTTCAATAGTTCTTTTTTACCAGTGCTGCACCCCCGTAACTTTGTGTCAGCTGTGTGCAATTCTGATTTCCATTTTATAAAGTATTTTATATAAGTTGGCTTGTGTTATGCGTTGTATCATTGAAAGTATGATTCATCCATGGTGTGGAAGAATAGGAAATAAATATGTTCATTAGGGGGAGTCATATTGTTCCTTCATGACCCAAAGTTGTTTTCAATGATTGAGTGATTGAACACATTTATATTTTCTTGTGTACAAGCCAATCTCTTCTGTTATTTATTTATGCAAATTTTGAATGGTCGAGTGGTTGATGTTGGAGAGGTACAGATTTTTATTTGAATGGTGTTGTCTTTCTGACCCCAATTCAAAGAATTTCACAATTTTTTTTTCCCTCAAAGTTCTTGTCAATGTGAAGTCTGTAAAAGATATGTGAAGTGCTGTAGAGATAATGAATGTTGGTCCATGTGAGTTGTTCTACATGATATTTTGCTGCCTTGAATACCTTGGTGAAATAACAGTCAGGAGAGTGTGTATGTTATGTTGCCACTAAGACTAGTCATAGGAAGTGAAAGTCTATTGATGCATATGAGATTTTCTCAACTTAAGGGCAAAGTTATTTCAATTGCCGTGATAACATATCTTATATGTTTGCTACTTGCTATGTGCGAAGGTGATCTTTGGAACTTCATCAATCAAAAGTGGGATTTGGGAAACAAAAGTTCAGAACCCTTGTGTCAGAACTCCATTTGGCACTTTCATAAGGTATTTGGTTCACGTGTCATACTGAATGTCATTCATTACTGCCTCCTGCCCAACATAATGTATGAAGAGTCAAGAGGTTACTGCAGTTTCTGTGTACCTTAGCAGATGAAGGAATATGGTTAAATTATTGTAGTTGTAGTGGATAGTCTACTGTAGCTTACAGTTGTTCTTAGCTTCTGGTCTCAATGAGATCATCGTGACTGTTCATTGTATTAGTATCTTGATTTTGTTTTAGCAATCTAAGAAAGTGAAGCTAGTTCTCTCCTCATGTTTATGAAGAAGGTTATCATAACTGGTTTTCAATGGGCCGAGATGTGGATGTATACTTATTGTATATATATAATATATACATGTGTATGATTGTGTTACTCTATTTGCTGGAGATTGTTCAGAGTGCCTTCCCATCCTCTCTGGAAGTCTTGACTAGCAATTCAAATCATATTCTTTACATTTTGTATGTAGTTGATAATGGTTACCGTTAGTGGTCTTTAGTTAGCTTTTATGTTTTCAGTACTTCTCTGTTCAACTGTGATTGAGATGGGAGTTCTTATTTTTTGTCTCTGGCTGCTCAATATGTGGTGGGGCAACATTTCTTTTTGTTGGGGAAAAGGGTTCTTGCTTCAGATACTTTGAGCAGTTTTTTTTTCTTTGGGGGTGGGGGGGCTTCTTTCCTTTTGTTCATGAGTTTAGATTTTTTGGTATGCGTTTTGGCATCTGTGTGTAGCATCTGTCATTAGAGGCAACTCCGTCTCATGTTGCTTTTGTTCATTATTAATATTTATTCATTTCAATTAAAGGTAAAGTAAATCATTCATTTGTGTTTCTGAATTTTCTTTGGTCTTGTGGATGAATTAGTTTATCTTATCCAGCTTCGGTTAAAACAATGTATTCAACAAGGTGTGTTATGCGGTTAAACCTAAATGATTCTGTGATCATTTGGTTTTAAAAATCCATGTAATTTCTAGGCTTTTGATCAAGGTTGACGAAATTTTGTGTTCAGCCCACTTGTATAATTGCTTCAAGCAAGCAATATATTATAATACAATCCTTTTCTTGTTTGCCTTTTCATAAGGTAAATTATTTGGAAATTATATTGTTTTACAAATGAAATGTTACCTGGGCATTGAGAATTCTTGGTTGACTCCAGATATACTAGAACACTCATAACAGAGTTGGTGGTTGGCGGGTGCTCTGGTGTGGTTTGCTTCTTCTTTCCTTATCAAACATCTATCGTCCTCATCTCCCCTCCTCCTTTTTTATGTTTGTTACTCTCTTGTAACACCTCTGATCTTCTGGCGCTCATATGACCTTATGCAGTTGCGAGTGCCGTAAAACCTCTACTAAAACTAAACAAAAACTCATAACAGATATGCTCTCATGTAAATTGCCTTGATCTACTTGAAATGAATGAAATAATGAGATCCAGTTGTCCGTAGCTTTTGTTGAATATTTGCTATTCCAAAAAAGTGGAACATGTAGGTGGGCTCCGAGTGAAACAGCGATCTGAAAATGTACAAGAGAGAAAGTTCTCTCTGAAAAGAGGCTTAATAAAACTGTTACAGTGAGGCAGACTACTCAGATGACTAGGCTGCGGAAACAAGTATTGAAAGCCTGGTCTTGCAGTGTTTGGAATCACAGAAAAGCTTGATTAGGATGCAAGGATAGATCTGTTGTAGTTGAAGGTCAAAAGGAATGCAGAGGTGTGAGACCTGTCCAAAGGATAAATAAAGGAATGAGGGGCCGCTCTTTGAAATATCCCTCTTAAATTTATATAATCATTAGGATTTGTTGCGGGGGGTAGTCACTGGACCAGCACAGTGTCTGTGGTCAAGAATAAAGATAAAAAGAAAGAAATATAATAGTAATAGAGAAAACTGAATGATTTCATTTGCATGCCCTGAATGTTCAGGTTTTTCAAATCTTTCTTTCTTAAAACGGGGTTCAGTCGTCATAAAATTATAACATCACCATTTGCGATAATATTAATTTTAAGAGAAGGCTTTATATTGTACAGGCTGGGCCCCCTTTCGATGAAAGGAATGATCGGTGCTTTAATATCAACTAAAAGTAATTGGCCTACTATATTTATACTCTACTGGAATGGGGTAATAAATCTTGAGAGATGCAAAAAATGAGGTCTAGATCTATACTCTTCAAACAAAATGCGCCTCGTGAAATATCACTTCCGGGTTTTCTAAAATTACAGAGACAGAAGCGTCGACCTACAAAAGCGATCGGCGAAATAAAGAAATTAAGCTTTTTGCAGCAAAACTGTCTCAAAACTGAAAAAACGAAGGGCGTCATGATCTGGAGAATATTTTAAAGAATCTTTTGGCGAAAACCGCATGTCGATCGATGCAGCCATTAAAAAGCCTTTTGAATAGCAAAATTCGGCCACCACAAATAGATAATAGAAAAAATAAAATATTCTAAAAAGACAATGTTTGTAGCAAAAGTCTGAAATGCACATTATCATGCAGGTGTGTGTGTGTTTGAACGAACATTCGAAGTAAAACTATCGTTTAATCACAGCTTTAGCTTCTGGGAGCATGTCATGAAAGCTGTTTCAGTTAGCTCATATCACACATTGGGAAGGGAGGTTGAGGACACTACTGGACAGTGGTTAAGTCCTCCATCTGATCTTTCCCTCTGTTATTCTATAGTCTGTCTGTCTTCTTTTTCCTAACATGAAATGGTCGATGTGCTTCTCTTTACTCGAATATTATACTGAAAGTTTTTTCTCAGATCAGTAAAAATATTGAATAAAATATCTGTTTGGATTGGAGTATCTTTATAGATATCTATATCAAGTCAAGAATCCATCTTTAGAAGCCTAATTTCTGTATCAAACTTGTAAATAGCTGGAAAATACATTTGAGAGAGGTAGCAATTTCGGAAAATCTTCACAAAAAATTATCTCTCTTTGCAGTTTTCTCAGAATTGTTCTGACCAGGTTGCAACACTATTTTGAGTAGGTCTCAGAAAGTTACCGTCAGAGTCAGAATTTATTCAACTTTCCACACAATCTTTTATACCCATATATATCAGCTATGACCTTACAGAAGCATTTTTGCTGTTTAAAGTACACATTTGGAGTTTTAGGCCTTTTTTTTTTTTTACAAAATCTGTAAATATTGGAGACCTGAAAGTAAGTAGTGCATAAGAAGGACTGTAAAGCTCACAAGTTTATACTATACACAAAATTCAAATTTGGCTTTGTAAAGTCATTCTACCTACCAACAGTAATCACCATACCAAATATTAGGCTTTTATCTTGATGAGTGTTGATGATTGACATAAGATAAAATTGGTTTTTAAAATGCTGAATCAATCCTTTATTTTTCATTTTTTTGATGGCTCGAGATTATTATGGCTAAAATCTTGAATTTTTTGCTTGGTAACCTTGATTATTACTATGTCACACTCTTTGATGCGGAAAATCAAGCATTAGACCAAAAACTATAGCGTTTGGGTGTTGACCATAGCTACACCCCCTTAAAAAGCCACTGATGCTTTGTATAAGTGCAGGAGACTTTGAATGTAAGTAATTACATATATATAATTTATTGTGCACATGCGTGATACTAGACTCTCGGGTCACTGCAGCGCTAGGTCTGTTGTGCTGTAGTGAAGACGGGATAGTTTAGTGGGTCTTAGTTGTCATACCACTCCTCACACAGCACTTAATTGTATGCCTACTGTAAGAACAGCATAGGTTACATTGCCGTTATGAGCAGCTCCAGCGAAGACAGGCTCTTTCTCAGACAATAAAAATAAGATGATAAGGTACTTTATTGTCCCAGTGGGAAAATTATAGGCTACAGTAGATCTAATTAATCTTATAACCAAAAAAAATTTGAATTTATATAATATGTAAAGAAAATATATTCCACACTCACATGAAGTACTCGTGTATTTTAATGTGTGTTGTTTTTTGTTGTTGTTGTTGCTGTTCTTGTTGTTGTTGTTTGTTGTATTGTTTTTGTTTGTTTTGTTGGGGTTTTTTGTGTGTGTTTTTTTTTTGGGGGGGGGGGTCTGATCTAGTTGTTTTGGTGGGGTTTTTTAACTCTTAAGCCCAGAAATGCCCCAACCAGCATAATGTTCGAAACTGTCCCTGTGGGTTATGGTTTATGGTGCTAATTTAAGCAGCGTTATTAATAATTATTACTTACGAGCTTTAGTTGCGGACTGCAAAAACTACAATTTTTTTTCTGAATTTGTCCCATAATTTGGATCTTGACACCACACAAGCTTCCTGGAGGGAACAATTCGCCATTCGGAGCTATGCGTCTTCCCCCCCCCCCCCCTCTCTCTCTCTCTCTCTCTCTCTCTCTCTCTCTCTCTTTCTCTCTCTCGCACTATCCTTCCTTCCCTCCTCCCCCTCCCCCCTCCCACTCACACACACCTATGGGGGCTCTCGTGGCCTAGAGGTTATGGTGCTCGCCTCTTTTTAAAAGGTCCCGGGTTCGAATCGGGGTAGCGACCGAAAAAAAATTCTCTAAAATTGTCTCCTTTTACCTCCTTTCCTTTTCTCTAACAATGTTCTGTCGTCTGATTTTGTCTCCGCTTTCTGCCCACACCTCTGGTCTCATGACTCTTTCTGCAGCCTTTCTACTGTTTCTCCTTGGCCCCTTCTTACTGCTGTCTTTCAGCCACACCCCTGATCTTCTGGTGGTAGGAAAGACCTGCAACCTAGCCTTCTCGAACAAGGGCGAAAAATCTCGGAGGTCCCGTGTGCAAGTTGCGCACGTTAAAGATCCTTGGTAGTCCAAAATGGATAAGAGTAGGCTTCGGTCGGCACCCGGGCAAAATTCAAAATGTTCTACCAACTGAAAATGTTTTATGTGTCCCGCGCGCTCATATGACCTTATGCAGTTCCGAGCGCCGTAAAACGCTTACCCAAAAAATGTGTATAAATAAATAAAAATATAGGCCTATGTATAGGCATAGCCCGCACGTCGTTTTTCCTGGTGGTTTGTTACTAAAGTGTTGTCCAAAGTGTGCACTTGGGGAAACCCGGGTTGGCGAGAGGATCACGTGATACTATTTTAGTTCCTTGTTACAAACACGAAAGAAAAGTTACGTCACGCAGGGTTTTTTTTTTTTTTACAAAGGCGGGTGGCGGTACTTAAGGTGCCATGCTGCTGACCCTGACTCATGTTCCTTCATTGTCTAACGCTCCTTTGTTAACGAGAAGGAAACGGGACGTTTGTTGCACCTTACATCCTTATTAGGACCTTCTATTAGTTTATAATATAATATAGAGGGATTATACAATAATAGTATATCATTATTAAGCACTTCCATGAAATCTGCTATTTTTAATATTACAGGTATGCCGGTATACCATAATTCTAATGTGGTATCGTCGGGGATGATTCAGCAGAAAACAGAATACGCACGACCCAAAGCCTTGGCACGTGCCCACCCTACCCCCTTTCCCGTAAAGTAGGCAACTAATTACTTCTTTCTTGCCTCTCTTCTTTCTTTTTGTCTTCCTCTATAGATCGGAGGTCGTGGTCAGTTGAGAATAACACACAGGAGTATGTGCTAAAGAATTCCAGAGCGCCGCAAAGATTCAAGAACGTAGTTTGCACATTTTGTTGTAAAAAAAAGAGAAGGTTGAAAACAGTAAAATGGAATACGATTGTGTCCTTTTCATTATTATAATTACTATTATTATTATTATCATTTTTATTATTATTAGATGAGAGCAGATTTGAGAGAAAGAGGAAGAGAAAGGAGGTTGTTTTTGTTTTTGCTGGTCTTATTTTTTTTGCCACCCCCCCCCCCCTTAAAAGGGGGATGTCCTGTCAGTTTTTGACAATTAGTTTCTGGAAATTTAGGTATGAAAACAAATTCTCGTAAGTTATTCAACAAGTGTGTGAATTCAGCCAGCATATGTCGAACTCATTATGTTTGTAGAGGTGTTTCTGTGGACGTGCTTTGTTGACACACGCAGGAGACCCGAGTTCGATTCTTTAGTGGGGAGATTTGCGCTCATATGACTTGCACTTGCACTTACTAAAACAAAACAAATATAGAATCTAAATGGGGAGCATTTTTTTTCTATAGTCTGTGTGCAGGGATGATGTTGGCCCTGACAGACATGGACGAAGCCCACCTCCTAAACGATCTAAATTGTGTCAAATCAGGGCGTTAAAAAAAGCTACTTTTATTATGATAAGCCTACACATGTATCATTTTTAAAATATTATGTTCAGTCGCCTGCAAAGCCTAGGGGACATTGGTGCAAGGCCAGTCTGTGTTGATAAAAGTAGTAAATCTTGAAATAAGCAAAGGAATGCTTTGTTTATTGTCTCTTGTCAACGTCAACAGACAAGCTGTTATAAGCGAGAGTTGTAGGCCTGACGGGTTTACTATGATTTCGCGTAGGCTAAATGTGCGGGTTTTCCACAGAATTCTACACTTAAGTGTAGAATTCGGTGGGGTATACTTCTTTTCTTTTTGCCACTCTCCATTAGCAAAAAATAAAAATAAAAACTTTATAAATATAAAAATTATGAGTTTTTTCCCCAAGACTCTGAAATTACAAACTTTTAAAAGATCTGAAATGTGTGTGCCACGGTGCAAAAATCAGTGCCGTTTCTTGATTCCCAGAGAACCCACCGAAACACGAAAGTGATGAAATAGCCTAGCCTAGCAAGAAGAAATCATGCGAAAGCGAGACGGAGAGAGGGTAACACAGTAACACACATCCGCTTCACTTCAGTCACGGAAGTATATTTCGGTACTAATTCTTAATGACCTCCATTTGCGCATTAATTCTAGATGACTCAAATCTGGTAAATTTTGTTCTTGGTCTTTAAACAAGCAAAAATTTCCCACACATAACGATCTTAATGTGTGCCGAGAATTATTCTTGGGTTGTAAACATTTTCAGAATATTATAAGCATCGACGAGATAACTATGGACTACATTTTGCTCGTTCGACACTTTAACTCAAGAGAGATAATTCATGACAGAAAAATGGACGACAGTGTGCCTTTTATTTCCTCTTCTCATAGCAGTGCCTGATAGCAGTGTTTTGGCTATTTTCACTGGATATTTCTTGATAGTGTGAGTTTTCCTGGTGTGATGATCAGGTGTTTATGGCATGGCTCTTAAGAACATATTTATTTTTGATAAAGCAGGTAACTGGATAGATAGATTCTAGATCTATGGGAATTGATTATAACGTTTGAAAAGGAGACGAATGAGTGAGACTGAGAAAGGACAATAATAGGAGTCATTTTTACTAATCTATAGATAGGCCTATCTTACTACTAATTACTAGATCTAGATTTCTAGATCTACTCCTGGACCTGGCTGTAGTAGTTCGCTCCCATAGTATCTGTGTAGAATCCAGGCCCTAGTAGATCTAGATTCTAGATCTAGATTCTAGATCTAGAAAGCTGCGTCTTTTCTACGTTTAACGGCATGTAATATTACGCTATTTAGCGGATTTCCGCTACCGCCATGCCCTCCGTTAAACTCTGCTACCGCTACAGCGGGCCAATCAGAAAGAGAGTTGCTGGAAGCAGGGTGACTGCCAGACCCTGGAAATTAAAAAAAAAATCGCACCTTTGGAAAATATATATAGAATCTAGATCTATTATAAATGATCTCGAGTATTTGAAAACCAAATCAATTTAACTTCTTTCAGTTCATTTTTGCCGGTAGCGATTGTGATATATTAATTCAGCTTTTCCCGGTCTGAGGGTACATTTCACGTTCAATTGGCGGCAAGCGGAATTGTATGTTACATCGAGGCTCTACCGGAAAATCAAGATATACTTTTGCTTTCGTTGCCACCTAGAAATTTGTCAGTAATAGTCTGATAACGCAACATAAATTTTGTAACATGGAAGTTCGGCATTACAAACGTGGTGTCGCCATGAAAATAAATCAATATTCCTCACTGCGCTGTCACTTGTGGGGGGAAAAAAAAAAGAAAAGTCTTAAGTTATACAAAAAAGCGTCTTGTCGGGCTCGCCATTGTGACCGGTCAGTGAACCTGCGCGCGTTCTGAGTGGTGTGAAGTACAAGACTCCGGGATGGGGGAGATTATTGATTTTTTTTTTAAGATGGGGGGAGGGGGGGGGGGGGGCTGAACCCAGCACCAGAGGACCAAAAAAAAACTGAAACTGGAAGCAAATTTTTAATATTAGAATTTTGATTTCCTCTGCTACAGCTCTCTGCAAAGTAAAGAGCACGTTGGTGCAGGCCTTGTGTGAAATCGGGAACGTCATAACTTGTAAGCGTGTTCTTGAACTTAGGGGCCTAAGTGTTCACGTTTCATTGGATGGGTGACCGTAAATTTCTCTATAATTTTAGCTTTCTGTTCAAAATTCACAGATTTTCAGTTGTCACTGCATCTTGTCCTCCCTTAGTTCTTACACCTCTCACACTGAATAGGTGTCTACTTGAGCTATTCAAGTTATTACTCTACTTCGAGTTTGAACTTTAATTTCTGTCTTTCATGTATCATGACACCCAGACTGGTACATGACAGTCAATATTCTGGTTCTAGGCCTTTTTTTCAGGCTCAAGACATGATATATTTTTATAGTCAGGCGAATATGATGAAGGGAAAATATAAAAATAAGTCGCACTAGTAAGACTCCAGTGCGCCACCACTTTCTGTACATAAAATCAAGATTGTAAATATTTGGTTAGTGACTCTTACTTGAAATTATCTTCCAAACCCTCAAATTGATGTGAAATAACCTTGCTTTGATAAATTAAATTGGTGGTTTTTATTTCAGCATTCTAGGGTTCAACAGTAGATCTATAAACTATAATAATAATGGGTGTTTCGTGAAAGTGGGCTTCTGTTGCGATCACCTCGAAAGTTCCTCCTGTTTTAAAATTCTGAGTTGAGACCCATGAGCTCAAACCCGTCAATGTCTCTATGAAGGAAATTGTTGACATTCGTACGGGTCAATACTGGAATTCCGAAATGTTATTAACATACCGGAAACACATCATTCTATGTGGTACCTCCTCGGCCTTCTCAAAATAGTCTGTGGGTATCCCCTTTTGTAATTCCTGTTCTTTCTCGATCCATTGCTACGTACACAGTTCTTCTTGTTGCATTAAAATGTCTGGCAGCAATGGATACTGAGGCACTGCCACGGATCATTTCAACAAGCTGATTTCGCACCTTTTCTCTAGGCGTGGCATCATGAAATGTAGATAACAAAAGTTTTTATCACTGGCGAATTGTTACAAAACTGACAAAGCTTTGATGTGTACTTCTTTTAAAACAAATCATTGCCGTGTCATGAGTAATTAAAAAAAACCCACAAAACATTTAACACGCATGCTGTCACCAAACCGCTTGCGCGTTCAGAAATCTGAAAACAAGTCGCCAGCGACAGGTATATTCATGTAGTCAATGTGTAAATTTGAAAATAATTGGTGATATAGATTTGTTTTTATTGAGCTTTAAAATGTACTTTAAAATGTGACAGAGTATAACATTGAATATATTGTCCCCTGCTGCTAAAATCCTAAAACTCTCCATCAGGTCTCAGCAGCAATCTTCCACTTCCAGTTTGGAATGTTTTATTCAGACTTGGTGGTCGGGTAATAAGGTGAGATTCCGACTCACAGATGTCCCTGATAACTGTTGTAGAAGTAATTGTTCTCTATTCTCTTACTTACTAGACTGACTGACCTACTGATTTTTTCTACACTGAACTATTTTTAAAAAAAATTAATCCAGAAACATCCTGCCTGTAAGGACTTCTCTGTTGATATCCACCCCTTGGCGCTCATATGACCTGTATGCAGTTGTGAGCGCCGTTAAACCTCTACTAAAACAAAAAAACTAAAGCAACATCCAGGCAAGTCGAAAATAGTGAAGCTAGGAAAAGTTTCAAGCCCTGCAGTGACAGTGGAAGACACTCCCTTGGAAGAAGTGGACTCTTTTACCTACCTTGGAGGTGTCATTGAAGGTAAAGGTGGAACCGGGGAAGATGTTAAGCAAGAAGCGCCAAGGCAAGGTCAGCATTCAAGCAATTATCAAAAGTCTGGAAAGCAAGCAACATCTCACTGCGCTCCAAGATTCGACTCTTTTACTCCAACATCTAGTTTGTGCTCCTCTACGGCTGCGAGACTTGGAAGACAACAATGACAGTAGTGAATAGAGTCCAGACTTTAATCAACAGATGTATGAGGAGTATTCTAAGAATTAAGTGGCTGGATAGAATATAAGAAATGAAGAGCTGTGGGAAAGGATAGGACAAAAGGATATATAATATAGAAGTAGAAATAGGACTAAGAAAATGGCGATGGATGGGACATACCTTAAGAAAGCCCAGCGGAAACATCACTGCAGTGGAACCCACAAGGAGATCGAGGCAGGGGTAGGCCACGGGAAACATGGAGGAGATGCGTGGAAAGGGGCATGAGAGAGATGAAGCTCACTTGGAACAAGCTTGGCCCAGGACAGAGATGAAAATGGAAGGAGCTTGTATTTGTATGTGGCCTATACTGCCAGGGGTGAAAGTCATTGATGACGATGATGAACATCCTGCCCCTTCGATGCTTTATTTTTGGACTTATAGTTTACTTTCTATCCTGTGTGACAACGTCTATAGACTTAAATAATTCTAACATTGATCTCCTAAGGCGTGCCATGTGGATTTTTGTTTGTTCAACAGGGCCTCCTCCTGAAGTGCTGCTGTTGCACAATATGAAACATAATTGTCACATATGTACTACAATCTACAGGTAGTGAATTTAATTGAAGTGAAAAAAACAAGCACATGTCATGACATGAGTAGGCCTGGGCTATTAAAGTTATCAAGGAAATCTGAAAGATTGAATCTTACAACCTAGGACTACCCAAATCCACCTGTCTATAAAACGCTCCACAAGAGCTTGATCAAGAGTCTTCCAGAAGTGCATGTGTTATTCACATTTGCTGGATTTTGGTAATCAGGACTGGGTCAGGGTAAGAGTAAAGATAACCCAACCTTACCCCTGGTCTTAACCCTTGTCACCAGTATCGCAAAAGTTTTTCTAGACTCTAGATTCTGTAGCCTTTAGCTCCTTGTAAGACGGATTTTTTAAGGCTTGAAAGGGTTAAAATTAATGTCGGCAAAGTGGAAAAAGAGAAAGGACATGAACTGAAGCGTGATCTCAATCAAAAGAGAAGCATTGTATAGTACTAATGTCAATGAACAAATGATCCTTCTAATTCAAACAATAAAGTTTGTCTTTCAATGGCAATGATTTGCCTTCAAAATCATTGGGGAAAAAATTATTATACTTGTCATACACATTGTTTGAGATAATCACAGTAATCCACCGTACCTAAACACCACTGCATTATAAATTCATGTCCAACTCTGGGTTTCCCACGTGTTTTGAGGTTACATATGTCATAGTAATTTCGATGTTCGTTGTTTAAGCACTGAGCTGCTGCCAGTGAGTGCCAGTTTTCATGGGAAAAAATATTTTGTGTTCTTCACCTTGATTTTGAAGTCCATAGTCGGTCATACATCCTACCATAATTGCAGCCTGCTTTTGAGAACGGTTTGGACAGAGTGCTGGTCCACTTGGCTGTGCACCACGATAATACTGTCTATATATATGTAAAAACATTAAGTTCCACCTGACTGAGCAGAGCATGGTCCACTCAACGTTCTACCATGGTAATGCATTGTACTACACAGAGTAATGTTTTACTATAGATCGCCTCCACCCCCCACACACACACACCCCACCCCAGAAAAATTACAAAACCACCGAAACGTTTTTAACACAGCCAATGACCGTCCCAAGGTAAAGTGTTGTGGATTGTAGTAGATTAATTTTGCAGACCATCAAGTGAAATAGTTGTAAGACATCTGGTGGTAGACTGTCATGTAGACCAGAAACATCGCTGTGGACTGGCACTCTGGACAGTATAGTTAAGTATAGCTACTGGGAATTTTGTCCCTGTTGTCATGAAGGAATAACATTTAAATACATTTTTTTTTGTTTCCAGAGGATGGTCTTAAGTTATAGGTGCCTTATCACCTTACGTTAAAAATCTTCTGAAATGTGTGTATGGAAACATTACAAGGACAGGACAACACTAGTTATGGGAGGTCTTACGCTCATGATCATGTTTTAACATCAAACTGAAGTGTGGCCTATGTGTGGTACTTGCAACCGTAGAGTTAGCTGCAGTCACATTCCTCTTGTAGGCATCTTTTATGTTAGAAAAGGTTGACCTCCCTCTTTTCTTCCTTTCTTCCTTTCCCCTTATCTGTTCTCTAGAAAATCCTTCAGGTCTGTCCAATCTTCATGGAGGCAAAAATCCAACCATCTTGAGTCGATCGCAATTTAGCGACATCATCAGCAAGAAGTAAAAGGCCTGATTTTCTGTCTAAAAGTATAGTAGTAGTAGAGTCTGCCATTGGAGTGAGAGAGGATAGTAAAATTTTCCTCTCATGTCATTCATGAAAAACAATCAACAATTGCAGCATTATTGCTGCCATAGGAAACCAAATCCAAAGAGGATGGAAGCAACTTGAATGCAAGCCCTTGACTCTGCTTTTTATCTTCAAACTCCTTTAAGAAGATGCTCTATGAGAGGTGTCAATATCTACCACAGATTGTTCATGAGTGTAGAGTTTAGAGGTCGATAATGGGACATGAAGTCCTCTCAAGTGATTTTGACTGAGTTTTTTGTTACAGAATTAGAAATCAAAAATGCCTTTGTAAGCTCTGTTGTGAAAGTAACATAATGCAAAAGGGTCTGTTCTGCTCCCTGCACTACTCCTGTAGCCTTTGTGAAGAAACCACCATGTCTGACATTGTCAACCTATTGCTCGAAATCTGTTGTGTCCCTCTGGATACACACATTCTCAGAGATATTGAAGCTTTTTCTGCCCAATTTTGGCCTGCTTTTAGATTAGCTAAAAGTAATTTTTGGGAGGGACAAAGAGGCTCTGCCTTGGTTAGGTTTCTGAACTGTCTTACAGCTTCATGTGCAAGAGTACTGGTTTGGCCCAATAATGAGTGGACACCTTTCATGTGTAGGTTTTGGGTTAAAATCAATTGTTCTATATAGATCTTATGATATTAAAAGTTGTTCTCGTTCTATCCAGCAGTTTATTGGGTTATTTTTGCACACAAACTACTTTGGGCATGAGATCACTTCATGTATTATGTTTATGTATTGCTGCTGTTAAAAGCCTTCAGTGGACTCTATAACCCATCAACCATGTCCCATTTGAAATTCATTTTGATATATAAATATTCCCCCTACTGAAGGAAGATGAAATAAGGTCTTGTTTTTGTAAAATTGTATCTTGCTCTGAAAATGTTGTTTCTTTTTTTTTTTCAGATGAAATGTTTGTCTACTGGTTGGGAACAGAACACAAAAGACATTTTGAATTCAAATTGTGAACACTATGGATGATGTCTTCTCTTAAACAATCAAAGTGTTTCTTATATTGTAAATTTAAGACTCCAGTCTGCTGAAATGGCAGCAAACAGAATCAAAGGTTTAGTTAGTAGGAACAAGCGACGTTTGAAAGAGGATGGATTTGATCTGGACCTCACATGTATCCTTTACTCATCAAGCATTATTTCTTCAGTACTTTGAATCTGTACAGTAAAACCTGTCTTAACAGAATCTCCCCGCTTCCCCCTTGATATTCCTCTTTAATTACCTGTATAAAATGGAAACCTGTCTAACACGGAAACGGAAAGAAAAATCCGCTGCCTTCCGACTTGCGAGGGTCTCGCCTGTCTAAGACGGAAAATGCTTTACCCGCTCAACCCTGATTTGAAACAAAACTCACAAGTTTGGTTCCGATGTCTCTAAACTTAATGCCATGGTCATGCCGCTGGGTGAGGAAGGGGAGTAGGAGTGCAATTTGGGGGTAGATGTTACCCCATCTTGAGCCCTGAGCAATGCAAATGGTCAGGGTAGTGTGGGTGTGAAATCTCACGACTGCCCGTGAGAGTGCTCGAGTAGCAAGCCACTACGGAAACTTTCCTGGGTAACCAGAAGCCAAAGGTGTGAAATTAGATTGACCAATGCCTGCCGCCCTGATCGTACATCCAGCGGAGAAAAGAGTTCCTCGAGGGGTGGCATTAGTTGACTGTGCTTATTACATCGATGGGTGGGGCTAAGGGTGGAAGCAAAAGAGATGTTCAAACGTTTCTGTTTTTAATAAGTCAAACAGTGGTCCTATGAAATGCAAGCACTGATGGTAATTGGATAAGTAGGCTAAGACAGAGGCATGTCATTATCAGACATGATAGCAATTGAGAGGTGTGAAGTTTTTTTACCACTGCTTGCCAATTGGACAAGCGATCCTTGATCCCACCAGCTGGGCCTTTGAACCTTTCCATCTCCCCCTAAATTCCCCTGTCTAAAACGGAAAATGTCTAAGACATAATTTTTTTCTGGCTCCCTTACGATTCCATCTTACACAGGTTCGACTGTAGTTAGGCTGATGCTATTTTATCTTGGTCAAAAGCGTTAGAGGCCTCTTGCTCCTATATTATGTAATTGTGATTGTGCTTGATTTGGTTTAATATTCTATCTGCTGGTAGGGTAAAAAGATATTTTTTTTCTCTGATTTTTGATGCCTGGGTTAGATATGGCAACCTCATAAGTCTTCCTGTGCAGATGATGTTGAAGTTCCTTTGTGAACATTATCACTCATTGTCACTGTGCATGCTATAGATTTCTTGAAAGTTAAAAAAGTGCTGGACATGGGCAAGCTGTATCATAAAAAATTTCTAGTCAGTCGGTCCCTAGACTGACATCCATCCAATAAAAATTAAAAATGTTGAGTACTATATAAAGTAAATCACTTGTACTTTTACTGTCTTTAAATAGACCTGAAATTCAACTTGAAGAAATATGTGTTTGTAGATTTGTTTGTTTGTTTGTTCTAGACCTGAAAGTGAAAGAGTTGAATCTTATCCTATTTTGTTTCCTTATCTAATAATTAGATATTACTCCCAACATTATTGCCATGGGTTTTCCTGCAGAAAAGCTTGAAGGCTACTACAGGAATCACATGGAAGATGTCATAAAGTAAGTTCCTTGGAAGTGTCAATGAGAATTTCAGTAGTCTCTGATTTGTATAATGGTTCTTCATTGTGTACCATGATTAATATTTGCATGCTTTTCTTGCAATTTTTAGGTTGTCTTTTTTTTTAAATTGGAAAAGCTTTAAGATAAAAGATTTAAGCTGAGTCATTAAATTGTTGGAGGAATTCTTACAAACCATTTTCGTGAATGTAGCATATTTCATGTTGACATGTTTGGTTGTCTTTCTAAATTAGACTTTAGTAGCTAGATCCAAGAATGACAGTTGTATAAACATCACTAATTTTCTAATTTAGTATTGAAAAATATTGTTTACTTCTGAATATTTTCATGTTAATGTGATCTGTTGTGTATTTAGTATGGCCTAAAAGAATATGAGGGTCAACTTAAAACATACATTCATAAATTCTCTTTCAGATTTTCTTCTCAGAATCTGATTAACATTTCAACAATTGCAGTTTTCAGTATGTTCCAACATAGTGTAACACGTACTTTTCAAGATTTTGCTATTAGACGGAGTTGTCTATCAAGAACATAAACTTATGAGTGTAATTAAAGAAGCAAAATAAAATTATCTTCTGCTAGCGTGCTTTAAGGCTATTGATGTATTTTTCCAGTGTGATGTTAGCTGGAGACAACCCCGTAATATGCTGCTGGCCATACATTATCTTATACAAGTTCAAGCACTATCCTGTATTCTTTTTGAACAACAGCTCCTATGGGATTATTTTTCAGAAAGTTGTTCTCTATGAGTTTTGCATTAGGTAAAGTGCTGTGTTAATGTTAGTAAATTAAGAACAATCCTTTTTTTTTCCTTGCACAGGTTTTTAGAAGCCAAGCACAAGGACCACTACAAAGTGTACAACTTGTGAGTCCCCTGCTTTAATTTGTTCCTTGCCCTGTCATGTTATTGTCTTCTTAGCGTCAGGTTTGTTTTGGATCTTTATAGTTCTTACAACTGACAACTACATGAATAATTTAATTTGGAGTCCAGAGAGCAGGATGTATGGGAAATGTAGTAAACATTTTGTTACAAATAAAATGTTGCTCATTGTATTTAGTCCTTAGAGTGACAAATTCAAAGTTGAAAGATATTCCAAGTTTGAAATTTGCAACTTTGGAACCAAAGATTTTTTGGGGGTACATTTCAGTGTGTGCTTTTTATCTTTTATTAGTCCACTTGGTATATAGTAAGCCCACATATGTCTTGTCTCATTCTTCTATTTCTTTTTCAGTGTTACAGTTTGAATCATGCTAATCTTCTTCCTGACAAAATGTGGAACTTGTCAGAATATTTTGTAGTACACTACATCTCAACATCTACTGAGCAGCATTACTCGCTTTTCTGTTTCTTGTTAGACACTGTACCTTATCTATGGATCTATTTTGTTGTTGTTTGAGATTGCTGTAAATGTTGCAGTTGACAGGAGAATAATCAGTGGCCATGTGCAAATAAGGTCTTTTAAGGAAAGAGACTAAATATTTCCTGAATCATAGTATTAGATAAAGATTCAGGTGTTCTGTTTCTATACAAGGGCAGCTGAGATTCTATTTTTTGTATTTATGGTATTGTCATTTCTTATTTCTCAGTCCCAACAGCCATGGAAGTTTGGCTAATTACATCACAGTGGCATGCCCAATCTTTTTAACACTGTATCTATTGATTCTATGATGGCATTCTTGATGTTACCAACTAATTCAAAGTTCTCCTGTCTTTCAGATGTTCGGAGCGCAGCTATGATCCCAACAAATTTCTAAATCGCGTTGCTCATTATCCGTTTGATGACCACAATCCACCCAGGATTGAACTCATTAAACCATTCTGTGAGGATCTAGATGCATGGCTTGGTCAGCACCCGGACAACATTGCAGCTATCCACTGCAAAGCGGGAAAAGTGAGCACTGACCTTTTTTTGTGTATTTCATACTAGTTTTGGATTATTTGAATTTGAATAATGGCAGTTAAAGAGTATAGCACTTTGTCAAAAGTACCTAATTAGTGGACTGGTATTTGAGAGGATATCAATAATGAAATGATCACTTTAAGTAGCTGTGCTTCTTTACGATTTTTATTGTCAGTCAGCTTGTTGTCTAATCGCAAAATTGCATTATCTTCCCACTATAATTAGGGAGTTTTTTGTAATTAACTACTAGTCTCATTCTCCTCCAAAGTAAGTGACCTCCTTTGGTCTAAGTCTTAGTTAGTGCATATTAACAAACTTCTGTTAAGTGGGTAAGATTCAGCAGCAATTGTTTGTCTTCTTCCAAAGCTAGTAAGTTACTGACCTAAAAGATGGTTTGAACAAATTCCATTAAAAGAATTTATCTTTAGCATTATAATAGCAATGAATTTCCTGTATACTCTTCACAGTCATAGGAAGAAATATGCCTTTCGTTTTATTGAATTTGGTAACAAGAGTGCATGCCTGTAAACCGAAGGATAATTTAATGCTACAAAACTAGGTTTTTAATGATCCATTGTGTAGTTTTTTTTCTATTGAAAATATTGTTTTTAATGATCCATAGTGTAGTTTTTATTTCTATTAAAAATGTTTAGTCTGAATAAGAACTTGTTCCTATATTGCTAAAGGCTATGGACTTGTCCGACCCGCTGAAGTTGTATATTTTAAAATTTGAGTTGCACCTGAGTTTTTGTTGGCCTATCAAGGTTGTTTTCCCTCAGCCCTATGTCCTGTCAGGAGATTGAGTGAGTGATGTAAGACACATAAACTCCAACTAAATCGTTGAAATTAAAGGAATTACAGACTGACAAAATAATAATCTTGATCATGACCATTGTCTTTGTGTGGCCTACAGGGCAGGACAGGTGTGATGATATGTGCCTACTTGCTACACCGGAAACGTTTCAAGGATCCGGATTCAGCTCTCAGGCACTATGGCGCTACGCGTACAAGAGATGAAAAGGTTTTCTATATGTTTCCATTCAGATTTCAGTTGCCTTTCAGCAATGTTTCGGATGAGTCATTTTGAGAATGATAGAACGGCTATGATTCGAGATTTTGAAGTTAATCTTTTAAGATTTTTTATCGTGTTGGTCTGACAGTGACGAAAAGAATGCCAAAAGAAGAACATTTTTCCTGAATGAAGTGATTATTCCTCATTTTCTCAGAGAGTCATTAAATGAATTTGGCAAATGTAAATAAAATGAAAAAAGTGACTTTGTTCAATTTCAGGTTTTGATACGGTATACATTTGTCTAGGAAGTGATTTTAAAATTCTAAGGTCTTTTTACTGGTTCTCGTATCCAGAATTGTCTTACAATGACATTACGTGGCATGAAAATGTTTTTCACTTCCTTAAGTTTTCTATTTTTCTATTTTCGCACAAGCATGTCTATGATGAGGACCATGGATGTTGAGTTCTATTTCATGGTTTTGTAAAATGCAATAAACTTGTAAACATTGATAAAATACCACCACTTCTAGATATTAACACATTTGTGTGGCGATTGCTTGAGATATTTGTTCAACATAAGAAATCAATAATTCATTGAAAGGTTTGATGTCTTTTGCCTGAAAAAGCAGTCTAAAGTTGCATATTATTTTTTGCTTATTTACATTTCAGGGTGTGACTATCCCAAGTCAACGGCGCTATGTATTGTACTATGCTGACCTTCTAAAGCCAGGAGTTATGTATAGGCAGGTCAGCCTTCTGCTGAAAGGAATCAAGTTTGAAACCATTCCTATGTTTAGCAGTGGCTCTTGCAGTAAGTTTGCAGTTTATTTCTCACCTTTTTTTAAAGTGAAATCTAATACAGTAGAAGTTGTTTGAGAGCATTGCAGGTAGTCTTGGTATGTCCTATATCTTTGTTTATCCTGTTTTTCTCTAGTTTTTCGTTTTTCTTACTGCGGCATTATATGACTGATATGTGTTAATATGCTATTCATCCACTCATATGAATAAGTAATGTAAGTAAAAATAAAAAAGACCCAAAAGTCTTAATTTAAAATATGAAAATGAATTGCAGTTCAAACTGTTTCTGAAAGTTTGGGTTTTAAGTTATATAGCATCTTATGGTGACTGGAACAGAAAATATGTATATTATATCTATGGATATTTATTTTCATCTTTTTTATTCCTTTGTAGATTTTTATCCATTTAGGCTGAAGAGAAAATTGAACTGGGCATGAATAGTAAGCATAGTGAAAGAGGCAGAGGTGTCTGATATAAATGCAGTGTGCTGCTGTTGAGGTACAGGATTTTAAGTAGCTAAGTTATTAATGTCTTTGAAAAAAGACCAGTACGGAAAGCATTCTTTTTCTTCAGATGGTGGGGGGGGGGGGGGGGGGGGGGGGAGGGGTGAAGCTTTTCTGTGTGCTTGAATATTGTAGCAGCAGAAAAGGTAGAAAGAACAGCTTTTATTTCATTCTTTTCTTTAGATAGAGAAAAAAATTTATCGTCATTTTTCAACACTTTTGCTCCTGACCCTCATGCTCTATGACGTGCCATTACTTTCTATAGACTGCTTCAATTGTGGATTCAAAGAACAGAAGGCTCAAGAAAGGTTTATCTTTTGACATATTGCTGTTAAGACAAGTACACAGTGCTACGGTGGTCGTCTCAAGATAGAGATTCAGGGTGGTGAGAATATAAATACAGTGTAGAAGGAATTTTGTAAGGGGATCGCTATTATAGACTACGTTTTGATGTTTGTTTCGGTGGAGAGAAACCAAAGATTTAATGTAGTATTACAAATGCCAAAAAATAGAAGAATGATATGTAACTTTAAAGACTGTCCTTACCACTAGTCTTTTGGTATTGTGTGAGTGGTTATTTGTTGTTTGGTTGGTTTTTTTTTGGGGGGGGGGTAGTGGTATGAAGTGAAAGATGGTTTGTTTTAGTTACAAGTGGAGTTTTGGTATATATTCCTCTATTGCTTTGGGTTTTTCCTCTGCTATGTTTTGTCAGGGCTCTTCCGTCATCGATAGCTACACTCTTGTTAAACTAAGAATGCATGCATCTTTTCATGTGTGCTGGAAGTGATGACATCACAGTGTTTTTTTGACAGCTAGCCTAGCTGTAAAGTTATATTTTGTATGAAAACCCATGTGTTGTGCTTTGTACGACAAAGAGTGCTTACATCATCCAACGTGTTTCAAAGGGATGGTTTGTCACCTTTTTGTTTGCAGGGGCACACTTTGTTTCAAATGAGAAAGGGTGGAAAGATCGTATAGGAAATACCTCTATAAAAAAGAGGCATACTACTTTGTGAAATGAAAGTAAGTTTATTTGCGTCTCATTTTTAGGCGTCGAAAAATAATCAATCAGATTTGTGGCTAGGTGGACAATATTATGTATTAATTGTTGGGTGAGTCTTTGTCTTTGCCTTGTTGACATCTGCAATACATATAATCAGTGCCTGAGGTAAAGTGGTATTTTCCCCTCTTTTCTTGAGCACTTATATATTGAAGGTCTACTTGTTTTTCAACAATCACCAACCTCATAGCCTGCCCTGTTTTCACATTTTTGCCTCTGTGTATTTTTTGGAAAAAAGAAGTTTGTTGACTAGCATTTGCAGCATGACATAAAAAGGAAACTCTTAGTAAAGTGTTTTGTTGTAGGAGTATCCATTTTCTGGAGCATTTTGTTTCTTGTGTGACTTTCAATGTTTTTGGAAGTGATGTGAAAATGTTCTTTTGAGATTCACTTCAGTAAGTCCCTGAAATTTTTCTTGATGCACCTGAACATGTCACAGTAATACTAGAGTTAAAAGAATTTGGAAAGCTGTAGATGCTGTGGGAAATTGCTTATGAAAGTGTTTCTACTTGGAACTGAAAATGAATATAATTTATAAACACCACTTGTTTTACGATTTTTGCTTGGGTTCCTCTCGTGAAATTAGAAAGGAACACTGCTGTTCTTCTTCAGTAAGTCAGACACATATGTCGTGAGATCACAGTGGATAGAGCAGGTTGGATTTCAGAAGTTTTCTTTTTTTCGGATTTGGGAATGTAGTAGGGCAGGAGAATTTTTTTAAAACCTATTCACCTGGAAAAGATTCTCTTGCATCAGCAAGTACATGGTCCTGGTGTTATTTCTTGTCATTTTTATGGGTGTGCTCTTTAACACATACTAAGTGACAATGGTAGTTCTATGTAATTGCACTTTTATAGATCTGTGTGAGGTTGTGAAGTGAGTTACATACTTACCACAAAATATGCTTTTTAAAGGTTGGGAAGTGTATTTCATATTTTTTGTTTTAAAGGTAAATCAAATGTGATCAAAGAACAAAGCAAATTATCTGCTGTGTGAGCATTTGCTATTATTCTGTGTATCAAGTTAAAGTGTGTTTGTACAAAATCATACCCAAGACAATATGTGGAGCAAAAATTCTCTCTTCAAGATGCCAGTTCAGTTCAGTGATCATATGATCCCTATCAATGTAGTGTTCTACATCAAGGTGGATATTTGTTTTGTTTTGTTGGGGTTTTTTACTGCTTTTTTATGGTTTTTCTGAAGTGTCTTGAGTTTGCAGTCCAATCAAAAGATGAATAAATTGGATATCAGTGGCAGTCCACAGTGCAAGTTCAAGCCGAATGGTAGTTATTTAACAAATGTAAAATTATGTATTGGTTCATCCCCATTTTAACAGCAAATTTGATGTAGCGGGTAGTGAACTTTTTCATACTGATGTTTGAAAATTTCCCTATGGTGTCTAAATAGGCCCTACATAATTCATTTGAAAGTTAAATTTCTTGTGCATGCATAGATCAGATATTCAAAAAGCCAGACTTTTCTCTCTCTTTTCGAATCATTGATGGTATATTTTATTTCTGCCAAAATTATGGTGGGAATTCAGGGTCCATAAGAAAAGTTTTATTTGTTAGAATCCCTGCTGATTACAATATTTCCACGACTTGAAAAAAAAAAAAAAAGATAAACTGGTTTTGGTAATGTAAAAATATGGATGTATTAAAAGACATTTGTAATTTCACAAAGAGTGATGGGGGGGGGGGGTAAACCAGGCTGCTTTTTGAGTTTATCACCATAAAGTATAAAGGTTATTACTAATCCAGCGTAACTTACCTCTTCGTGCTTTTTTTGTTTTGTTTTTCTTTGTTTATTGGGTTGATAAAATAAAAGGTGAAAAGGCCATCCTGCCTCTGAATGTTGTGCTACCAAGTATTGCAAGTAATGGGTATGTGAAGAGATTTGTCCGCCTTCCTCAAGTACTTAAAGAGTAACTCAGGAGTTGTCTAGACCAGTGCTTATGTTGACCTTTTTATAAACAGTATGTTGTTCATCTCAGAGTCTTCACCACAGAGCATTCTGCTTGTGCTCTGAGGGACTAAGATGGTGTAAGGGCTTGAATTTTCATGGGCGAATGATGTTTTCATGTAGTTATGAAGCCTTCAGTCTGAGGGCAAACATGACTATGATTTGTTGGAGATTATCACTAAAATTTTTTTAAAGTGTCATTCTCACTTGACATGACTTTGTTGTTGTGTTTCCCTGTTCTTGTTTTATTCTCTTGTTTCTTAGTTCTCCTTGTTAAGACACACTGGTGAACATAGCGTGCTACTGACTTTATGCTGCTCAAGTTACCCTGGCCAAGAGAGTTGTTGGAAAGTCATGTAATACACAACTGTCCATAAGTGTAGGAGAGGGAAGGGATTTTTAATTAATTTTTTTTTTCAGGAAGGGTGGGGGGTGTAACTCTCCTGTCTAGAAAGTTCTGTGCCTGCTACTGCTGCTGCTTTTTTGATAATTTTGGTTGGAAGGATGGGGTGGGGAGAGATTGAATAGGAGAGGAGGGTCAAGGTTGATACTGCTTAACCCTATCCGTACGTCGTGTTTTACTAACGTATCCGTACGATGTGGGGAACTCTGTGCCACCACTTTCAAAGAGGAAATTTACTTGTTAATCCGATCCGTACGCTTTGCATAGCAGTCTGTCAAAATAATTTTTTTGGGAGAAATACTGAAAGTTTCAAAGAGATCTTCGCACTAGAAGTATTCTAAAATGTGGAGAATACAAACCGGGGGGTACAAAATGACTCCAGGGCGTACGGATAGGGTTAAAGTTTGCAAGTTGTGGCTATCAATTTTGTGTGTTATTTGTCTTGTGTGTTTCAGTGTTCATGAAATATCTTGTTGATTGTTTCCAGGATGGAGACCTGGGTTCTCCTTCCCTCTACCCAGCCACTCCACTCCCCATCCATACCCTACCCTTCCCTTTACTTTGAGCAATGAGTTTGGGTGCTGAATGTGTTGACCTTCTGTGTAATGTGATAATAAAAATGTCCAGGGAAAATGTTTTTGATAATGTTGTAATAGATAAGAGATGTATTTGAAAAGTGTATATTATGAAAATAAATATATTTTTCATGTCTTTGCACAGTTGAATACTCGTTTGTTAAGAAGTCTTCATCACCATTTTGTCATCATAGCTTGCGCTTTAATGAAATAGGATGTGAAATATTGCGTGTCTGTAGATGTTTTGTGTGCACGTCCTGGTGTACAGTTTTCACAGTATTCCTTGTTATGGTGACAATGCATGTGTCATATGTTACTTGAAAAACAAACAAATGGCAGTTTTTTTTTGTTATTTTGAATTTTAATTTTGATGTTTTATTTCATGACGCTACTACTAGGCTATGTTTTTGTAGCATAGATGCTGTATTTTTCCTTTTCCTTTTTTGAATTGGGAATTAGGGTTTAAAAATGTATGTGAATGAACAACAACTATCATCAAGGAGTGATGATGACATGGATACTTAACCATCTGTCTGTCTCTTGCTATGGTTCCTTCAAGAAAAATGGCAATTTAGAGCCCTTAAAGGATG